TGTTTGAACTATTTTTGCATAAACTAAAGTACAAAGCAGTGAAAATCATTAATATGCAATCGTTTGATGGGCTAAATTGCACAAAACGCATGATCGCATCGGCTACTCTGGTGCGCATTGCTATTTATTTGAATCTGGGCAACTGCGTCTGAAAGTTAGCTGACCGTATGAGGGAGATACAGTACGACGCAGTGCGCCAAGTGCCTACTTGCAGCCGCCATTTCATCATATTTGAATTTAGAACTTTTACTTCATCGTTACCCAGTAAATTCTTGAAAATATTTACTTTTTGCCAATCGTTTCGGTGGTGCAGTATCGTCTTCCACCCTCTTCTTTCTTCGCATTAAGTTAATATATTTATGGAATTATGCTATAAAAATGCTGATGTGTGTTCTTAACGTTTTTCATGAAGCTTATTGTCACTTTCTCAAGATTTTCATATTCTGCGATGTTATTTTTTGTTTAGGCAAACTGCCAGATACGGATGCCGAAGCGGGTGTTTGTCTTGCGCTTCTTATACTTGCCGATATAATATGTCAAAGCGATCAGCCTATCATCCGTTAGTTTCACCTTTCATTGTATCCTTTTTAATGCAAAGTGATTTTGCCAGTTTTCCCAATATCGCCAGTGTTTTTAGTGGAATCGCCGCGAAAAATCGGAATCTTGATTCGCCGCTTTTGGAACGCACACAATTTTTGATCCATTGAACATTTTTATTGAAATTACAAAATTATTTGCATATGGTTTTTGGGAATTTGAAGTATTAATAATTAATAATAAAATAGAGGCAAAGAGTATGCTCTGAAAAAGCGAATTGCAGTTTCGACGCAGTACACGGGAGAGCGCATCAACTGGAGCACTTCTCAGGCTGACCGATGGATTTTGACAGGCGGCCATTTGCATGATATTGGCGATGAAGTAAGCTCCCTGCTCGTCACCATTTGCATGATTGCCGATTTCACCAAAAATAAATTAAGGGATCGATTTTCAGATGAGTTCGTTTTAATAATTTTCGCAGGTGATGTTTCGTATGAATTGATTTTTTCACAAAACTTCCTCAGTTTTATCCAAAAAAGATGAAATTCGAGGTTTCTTCAGTTTGATTAGTCCGACCATTGAAATAGTGAGTTTTAGGCTTTTACCGTTTGCATATTCGTTGCCTCACTTCGGTCTGCACTGAATTTTTCCTGGGAAAAATTCAACCTAAGCCGGAAGAAGGAAAATAAAACTTTACAGCTGTACTCTCGAGGACATTGAGAAATAAAGATGCAAAAACCAACAACTCTTCTGAATGTTCTTTCAGCCATTTTTGCACGTTTTTTGCAGCTATGCAATGCAAAAAACGCATATTGACGAGAGGTTGTCTGTGTGTGTGTCTGT